TCGTTTGGCGTTTAAATTTCTGTCAAATAAGACAGAAATAATATCTTACTTTAATAATGCAACCCTTTTAAAATTCCAGAGTTAACCTCAAACAAAATAAAGGTATAAAAATGGGAGCCTCGTTTTGAGTAATTTAAGAAAAAAAAAAGTAACAGCTGGCTTGAACTGAAGTGCTGCTGGATGTAGGTATGTGTTGTAGGCAGGCCCGTGTGAGGCACTGGGGCAGGTATTAACCATTCTGGAGTCAGTCTACTCTGTCAGAGTCTATATGCGACATTAGATGTGACCTTTTTTGTGTAAACATCAATAAGGACCCTATGTTATATGCTTTATATTAATATTAGTCAAGCAAAGGAATATAAATTAGTACCTTAAAAAATAAAAGATTAGACAAAAATGAGAAGTTCAGCTCTGGACAATTAATGTTTGGCACCCCCATCAAGGTGAGTTGTTATGTTTATTCTGACAACTCACATCCCATGCTTTCACAGCTACCTTTATTACAGCTAAGGTAAGGTAGGGGGAAGATCAGAAATAGTTAATAAACGAATAAACTAAGTAAAAAATATAAAAGTTATTTGCTGTTTTTTAGGAAATGGAGACTACAGATATTGAATCAACACATTTAGTTTTAAATTCATCGAACCACACTACCCCCTTCTTTTCATGCATATACCTAAACAACTAGGTGAACATAATACAGGAAAGCTTTTCTCCTAGAGATCAAAAACAACAAAAAGTCCATGTAAAGTCAATATTTTTAATTCACTTTCAAATCTTGTCATTTGACATTAAGCAATAAAATCTGAAACCCATTTTAGAGATGTACTAAATTCTCAGTCTGAAAGTAACTGCTGTTCCTTGTTCCGTTTGTGTGTGTGTGTGTGTGTGTGTGTGTGTGTGTGTGTGTGTCATCAGCACAACTAAGACAAAATCGCAGCCAGGCCTGGGCCACTGCCAAGCAATTGATTATTAGCCATTAAAGGGGAAATGTTTACTTATTCATGGCAACTAGTTTTCAGAAGGAAAGGCAAATATGTCTGATTTTAAATGCTGCCTTTTCTTTCCCTCCTAAAGCTGATCAAGATCATTCACTTCTTAGACCTGTCAAAAGCCCGTTTTTATTTTCCTTTTGCTATTTTAACCAGAATACTGATTTTAAAAGGGGACGAGCAGTTGCTATGAGGCAAAGAAAAATGTCCTGGCAGTTGAGGGCCCTCCATCTATCAAGGGGAATTTGCAATGTTGCCTCTCTTCAATACTGTATAGATTTGCAGGATTTTGTGAAACACTTAACCAAAATGGAAGGATTTAAAAACAGGACGCAAGATATGGATGCAATCATTTTTTAAAAATCAAGATACTTTAGTTTTATTTCGGAAATTTCTAGTTTTAAATTCTTAAGCACGCAGCAGTGCTGATCTTCTCAGATAATACTTTTGAAAGGATGATTAGGGCAGACTGCTTAAATATATTCACTATAGCACAGAAGCCTAAGGATTAAAAAATCCTAGTGGGATTGAGATGAACTCCCTCCAATTACAGGGAAACAAATACTTATCTAATTAAATAACAATATTCACAAGCTATGTTGAGTTGCAAACTAAGTGTCCAGAACACTAAACAATATTTTAATATCTGGAAAGACTATGCAGCTAGATACTTATTTGTGATTCTAAGAATCTCTTAGGAATTGGAGGCAATTCATATAGACATTTCCAATATGTATAAAACTTAATGTCTTGACTACTTTTTTCTATTGATCTAATATCAAAATAATGTTTTCCTTCCATGTCTTTGAGTTTATCTGATGTGAAGAGACAATAAACAAAGCACCTTTCCCTAATAATTCTGGCTCTTGGCCCCCTTTCCCCTGCTTCTTCAGAAGGCACAGTTTTTTTTTTGTTGTTTGTTTGTTTTTAAATATATTTTATTGATTTTTTACAGAGTGGAAGGGAGAGAGATAGAGAGTCAGAAACATCGATGAGAGAGAAACATCGATCAGCTGCCCCCTGCACATCCCCCATCGGGGATGTGCCCGCAACCCAGGTACATGCCCTTGACCGGAATCGAACCTGGGACCTTTCAGTCCGCAGGCCGACGCTCTATCCACTGAGCCAAACCGGTTTCGGCCAGAAGGCACAGTTTAAATGAAACATCCTCCTGGAGACCCCAGGCCCTGACTCTTGGAGATAATTTAGTAAAGCCCCAACACAGGGTTGAGAGGAAGACTGGACTAGCACCGAAGCACCTATGAAGGAGGGGAGACTCCCAGAAGAAGCAGGGACATGCAGTGCTATCTAGAAGCAGGAGTTACAGTTTCCCTGTGGTATTCAAAACACAGACTGGGGCCGGGGAACACTGTTCCCACGTCAAGGAAGGCGAGGCTAGAAGTAATGCTCGGAGCTAATCTCAGAGCTAGGTCCTCCCCAGAGTACAAGGCAAGATGGGGGATGCATCTCCTCTTTGGGAGCCACATACTAAGAGTAAAAGCAAATATTTGATGCTGAAGAGCTCTTAAGAACTGAAGAGTGCCATTTACTTATTTCTACATGTCAGTGTGGGCTTAGGATGTTAAATAGATTAAAAGGCTAAGAGAGGTCAGTCACTCCAGGAAAGATTCCTCCTTTGCTTCTCCTGACTTGGTTCTTTCCAAAATTGTGATCTACTCCACTCCACTCCTGTGGAGGGTCCTTCGGAAACTCAAAAGATGGCACATGCTCTCCCAGAATATTCTGGAGAATGTGGAGTAAGGGTCCTTGGGATGGGAGTTCCAGAATACAATGAAGATTATTTTAGAAAAATTCCAGAGATGTGCATCATGAAACCTGTAGGTTTCTTAGAAGTTATCACATCTGGTCTCCTCTGTTTCAGAGGAGAAAGTAAAAGAGGCTCGGATTGAGGAGGTGATTAGGGCTGATTGGGGACAGAGCTGGGTGCCAACCGACTCCCAGCCCAGAGCTGCTTCTGCCTGACAACGTCTGGAGGTTCAGGCCTGTGCTAATGCTTCGCTGGGACAGACAGCCTTTGGCAGTGCCCTCCTTCGGCCTCTCTCAGGAGATGGGCTGGCAGAGGTTGCTGGGTCTGATCATCCTGGAGCTTAGGGTGCGGTGGGCTCCAGATTACCAGCTTCTACCGCCATCCCTCCCCGCCCCTGGTCTACCCGCAGTACCCTTCTCCCCATCGCAGAGACGACAGCCAAATCATTTCAATTTAATTTTATTTAAAAAGACATAACTAATAAATCTATTGCCGGGGCTGCGGAGAGACAGCCAGCAAAGTCAATCGCGCTCCCCATCCCATTGAACCCCACTGAAAACCATGACAACACAGGACAAGCTCTGATTTATCCCGGCGCTGAAGTGCATTGTGAGCAGGCGTCAATCACGCATTATTTCGGACTGAACAAATGCAAAATCTTGACTGGAACAAATGCTTCCAACAGGTCCGGGGCGTCGAGCTCCATTTCCCCTTTGTCCTCGGCCTAGCAGTTGTCCTGTAGGGGGCTGGCCCCCGCCCGACCACCCAGGGCGCCGCGCAGCCCCGGGCGCCACCGGCACGCTTGACCGGGAGGCTGCTGCGAAGGGCGCGCCAGGCCCTGCGGTGCCCTGGCAACTGAACCGAGCCAGGTCTGAGCTCAGCGAAGGTGGACCCGGCCCCGAAGCGCCACGCCCTTCACTAAATTTAACTACGGAACACCCAAACCACTGGATGCCCGAGGAGAGGCCTCTGAAAGTACGTTCGCTGAGCAATAGACTGAACTATGGGCCATCAAAATGTGTTCAGTCCGGAGTTCTCTGAGCCTCACCGACCATTTCCTTGGCTTGGGCTGTGGGGACTAGATCTTGGAGAAACTCCAGGCAGGCCGTCTTTTCTGCCATCCAATGCTCCCGATTGGTCCAGTACTGACCAGGGACGCAGCGGGAGCCCAGCTCCGGGGCGCAGGTCACATGCCCGTCACCCGGCCTGATGTTACGGGTACAGAGCCGGGGTGCACAGGTGGCGCCAGAGGTTCTAGGGTCGCCAATGCGGCAAGGCCCCCCTAGGCCGCCCTGCCAAACTCCTCCGCCCGTGAACTCTCAGTCCGGCCTGGGCTCACCCTGTGGGGCTAAGCCAACGAGTCCGGCGCTTCAGAAAGACTTGCTTGGCCAGTATGGGGAAACTGGCGCTGAGCCAGGGCTCCCTACCCCTGCACCTCTGAAGTTGTGGGGGACATTTGGGGTGTGGGGAGGCTCCTAGCGGCCTTTAAAACCATTGGCCCAGATGCTGGTGGAGCCAGGTCACTCCTCTGTGCCCGCTTGAAACGTCTCTCATCGGAGTCGTTAGAGGGGCCCCGCTAAAAAGAGAAGAGAGAACGCGCCAGTTTAACGCCGTCTTGTAAATCACTTTCCGGATGATTGCGGAAACGAACACTCTAGCAAACAAGCTCGAGGAATAAACAAACAGGGAATAAATTCCTGGGTGCTCGTAAACCTACCCACGCCGCCCCCACACACCCTGGAGCTCCCGTGGGGCCAGGCCCTGTGTCAGCCAGGAGGAGGAGGAAGCTGGGGACGGGCAGGCGGGTGGTGGCCACAGCTTGCCACCCAAGATGTTATTCACTGGTAACAATCCCCATTATCTGTCCCCACTTTGGGCTAATCAGACAGAATTGCTAATGCCGAGGGTTGCTTCCTGCCGCCTCTGGGAGGTAACGGGCACCGAGGGGCGGGGGAACGGGGCGGGGCAGGGGGCGGAGGTGGCACCTTCCGGGCTTGCCGGGCTTTGGTCCAGCACTCATTTAGGTACTTAACACCCTGGAGACCAGGGCCTCGCCTTTCAAAGCATCCCGGGCGGGAAGAGCTGTTTATATAGACGGGGATTCCGCTGTAAGCGCGATAATAAGACAGGCAGCCTGCACATGGCGTGCGCCTCTCACGCCCACCAGTAAGGAACGGCGTCCCAGGCCGCCCCTCGGTTCCCAGCCTGACCTGCCCCTCACCTCCTTCCCCTCCTCCGCCATGACCGCCGCCGGACGCCTCAGCTTCACCGTGCGCAGGCTCCTGGATTTACCCGAACAGGACGCGCAGCACCTGCGGCGGCGGGAGCCCGAGCTGCGCGCCCCGGGTCCCGGCCCCTGCCCCTCCTGGCTGGAACCCGAGCGCGGCCCCTACGCGTGTGAGTGAGCGGAGGACGGCTGCGAGGGTGGAGGGGGCGCGCAGAACCCAGCGCCCGGCCCACGCGGGGCTGGATTTCCTCCGTGTTAAAAGCGTGGGCTCTGTCCTCAAACCCTTACGCTGTGCATCCCTCAGTCGGCACACCCTGAGGGCAGATCCCTGCGCCTGGCACTCACGCTAGGTACTTGGGCTTCTGTTTCTAGGGGGTCAGAGTGTGTAAATAAGACAGGGCCCTTAAATGCCTGAAAACACGGTCACGCTCTCCAGTCCTCCGTGTGGGATGGGATGAGTCGGCGAATTTAGACCTACTACTGGATTCAGGGCTTTGCAAACCTCAGCCAACCGTGACGCGCTCGACCCGGAGTTGGCCGGTGCTGGTGAGCGAGCTCGCGGTAAACTCATCTGCCAGCCCGGCGACCGGTGTGGACTTGTTTTAAGAGGGCCCCGATGGGTTTCTGTGGGGGCGAGGTCTCAGGCTGTGGTATATAAAAGGTCACTAAATTCGAAGAGATGGGTGTTGAGATGTGGGCCCGGGGAAGGAAACTGCCTCCCCCCCCCCTCCCCCCAAAGCCCTGGGAGAGTGGCTCGGCACCCGCGCGCGCCAATCCGCCTGCGCGCAGGGGGCCGGCGCCTCACCAGGCCCTGTCTCCTTTGCGTCCCCAGCCTCGGACGAGAGCAGCCCAGAGACCAGCCCGCCCGACTCCTCGCCGCGGCCGCCCGCTCAGCCCGCGTCTCCGAGCTCGGACGCCGAGAAGAGGAAGAAGCGGCGGGTGCTGTTCTCCAAGGCGCAGACGCTGGAGCTGGAGCGGCGCTTCCGGCAGCAGCGCTACTTGTCGGCGCCCGAGCGCGAGCAGCTGGCGCGCCTCCTGCGCCTCACGCCCACGCAGGTCAAAATCTGGTTCCAGAACCATCGCTACAAGCTGAAGCGCACGCGCGCGCCGGGGGCCGCGGCGTCGCCGGACTTGGCCGCCGCTGCGGAACTGAGCGCCGCGCCCGGCCTGCTGCGCCGCGTGGTGGTGCCGGTGCTGGTGCGCGACGGGCAGTCGTGCGGCGGCGGCAGCAGCGAGGTGGGCATGGTCGCCCAGGACAAAACCGGCGCGCCCCCAGCCGCCGCCTGCCCTCTGCCCGGCTACGCCGCCTTCGGGCCCGGCCCGGCGCTCGGCCTCTTCCCCGCCTACCAGCACTTAGCACCCCCCGCCCTGGTCTCTTGGAACTGGTGAGGCAGCTGCGGGGGCGCGGGCACCGGGCTACCCCAGACTCCGTAGTGCGCTCTGTGGCCAGAGCAGCTGGAGCCGCAGACCTGGCGCGCTCCCCGGGCTTCACCATCCCGCCGGCTCGACGTCCTTTGGCGCCGGGATCCCTGCTCAGCTCTCACCAGCCGGCGCGTTAGGAACTTTTCACCAAGATTGCGCCCCGTCCCCATGTCGTCCGCCAGGCTCAGTGCTACAATTTATTGCTTGAACCTTATTTGTATGGGTAGCAACTTATTTTTTTTTTTAAGAAATAGAATATTTTTCCTCTTTGTGGTGCTAGAATAAAATGTGTGGGGTTGGGTCCCCTTGCGCGCCTGCCTGGAACCATAGGTGGCAGCTGGGTTTCCCCGTGCCCTGGTGAATTAAGGCCCACCCCGAGTTGGGTCAAAGTACCTACAAGGCTTTAGGGTGGTGGGGGAGAGGGAGGAAGCGGAAGCAACTCTGGGGTCCCTGTTAGTGGGAGGTGGTTCTATCCCAAAAGGACTCAGAGGCCTCTCTGGATTCCCAGAGCTGCTGGCGTTTCAAACACCAAAAGTCAGTCCACCAGGTCACAGCCAAGACAGGACATGAGCTTCTCTGTAAGGATTCTCTCCGGAGTCTGCTATGGGGGCGCAGCCTGAGCAGCCCGATTGGCTTCAAGCCGTTGGTTTCTGGAGTGCAGCAGCCAGGGCTCAGGGATCCCAAAAGCACCAGAATGTATAACCCCCAGATAAGCCTTTGAGTGCCTCACCTGGCAGCTGTGATTTCCTGCTGCTGCTTGGCGCTGCACCTGATCAGGGTGGCCTGGTGAAGAAACCAAAGAATGGTGGGGAATGGCCCACCTTAGGGCTGCCAGCAGAGGGAGGACCAGTTTAGAGAGCCCTGGGGACCCTACACAGATGTGGGATATGCTGGAGGATCTCATTTCCTACGCGGTCCCAATGCATATTAGGCTGGAGGATCTAATGTTTCCCCCCTGGGTAACTGCGCTTGGCCTCGGTAAATGGAGCAGCAGGGCCTCCTCTGCAGTTGTTACTCTTCGGAGGGGAAGTGAGTACCTCTGCCTGGCACCCACTGCAAGGAGCTGAGCAGCAGTTTCCGGCATCAGATCCAGGGAATGGAGCAAGGGTGCAGTGAGGCCTAGGAGGAGTAGGCATGGGGCCTGTTTGGGGCCCCTCTCTTGTTCCAAGAGGAAGAGGAAGGGTGGCTTAGACGGTGTTATCACCTGAGATTTTGGGGGATGGGAGAGAGAGGAGGGCAGATGGGGAAGGGAGTTGGGTGTTTGGGTCTCAGCTGCTGGCCACCTTGCCTTCCATATGGATGTGGTTATCTTAGGAGAATCTCCAGCCTTAAACCTCCTTTTGTCTTGGGAATTGAAAGGGGCATTGTCAGGTCTGAAAAGGACCTAGACAAAATCAGAACAGTTTTGATTCAGGACTCTGTTTAATCAGTCCCTGGTGACAATGTAGTGGGTGTTAGGGAGGATAATGGTATCTATTTAAACCTTGTGGCCTTCAGAAAGACAAAGAGCTTGAATTTTATGGGCTTACAACTTCAATTAGAACGGTGCCAGTGTGCATGGGAGATTATAAAATTTGTATCATAAAACCTCTTTCCAGTAAATGATGACTGGGGAGGGAGCATGGACATTGTAAGATACACATTGGAAATAGCCCTGGGGATTTTCTAGTTAGCCCTGACAGAGCAGATGGGAAAAAAAGGAGGAAAGGATTTCTGAAGGCCTGAGTTGGGACTTGTCCCTGTGGTCAGCTGACTGGGTACCCCATTCCTCCTGAAGGGGTTTTCACTCCAAGAATGGAGGTAAAGATTTGTAACGTGTCTTCTGCTCTTGGCGGTGACAGTGATTTGAATGTTCTTGGGAAGAAAGTGCAAAATCACCCCTGTCCAGTTTCATGCCTTTTCTTTTCCTGGAGCTCTAGAGAAAGTAGGTCTTGCAAAGTGGAGACCCATGGGTCTAAGAGGTCTGGACTATGGAGAGAAGCTCTTCCCAGGAGCTCTTAGGGAGAGCATGCCCTCAACCAAATTCATCTGGAGGTCTAATCAATAAGAAAAACCATTTATCTGCTTCCCAAGGTGGTCAGATCCATAGCAGGAAGCTCACCAGCAAGCCAGTCTGTGTCCTGGCCAGGAGGAGAGCAGCATTTCCTGTAGCATTAGCATCGGGAGCCATAAAGTATACACTGTTACCTGCTTGCTTTTTCTCTTTTTCCTTCAGGCCCTTTCCTTTACAGAGAAAAAGCCATAAATGGAAGTTAAAAATGGGAATTAAAAAAGCACTCCGATTACCACCAAACCATTTTAGAGACTCAGGCTGTCCTTTTCTTCTGTTTACACGTGTGATAAGCAGAAAAGGTAACTGTCAGTTTCCCTGATGACCTAAAAGATCAGGTTTTCCAGGCTCTGACAAGGAAAGCTAAGCCCAAAGCCTCTCTTCCAGCAGCTGTGAAAACATGGTATCCCTCCCTAGATGAGAATATTTCACACCTGTCACCCATCACCAACATCTCACTCTGCAAACTTATATTTACTTATACTCAGCAAACTTATATGGAAATGTACTGTGCTCCAGGCATTGTTCTAGGCACTTTTACAGCTGATCTCACAGAAACCTTATGCACGGTCTATGTAATAGCCCCATTTTACAGATAAAAAACTGAGGCTCAGTGTGTGGGAATAAGTGACTTGTCCAAAGCAGTTATAAACCTCATAGAATGTTACCAGTGTCTTCAGCTTAACTTACATTTAAACCACCCTGCAAACTCCTCTTAAGGAGAACAATTGTAGTCTTGATGTGGTGACAATATATACACCACCCAGCCATCATAAACGTGTCTTGTGGATAGTCTGGAAGGATGAGAACATGCCAAAAGCACTCTATACTGTTCAATCACAGGGCCACTCATGAAGCTGATCACGTGATATCACAGTATAGCTGTTAGCATTTTAAATGTTACCTGTGGACCAGGTAATATTCTAAGTTCTTTTACTCAATTAACTCATTCAATCTTCCCAACAACTCTGCAAGATGGTACTACTATTCCCATTTTACAGATGAGAACACTGAGCTTATAAGTAATTTGTCCAGGGTCACACAGCTAGAAAGTGACAGAGAGGCTCTGAACCCAAGCAGTCTAACTCCAGATCTCATACCTTTAAGCACATGATGGGAATTCTTTTCCATTCTTTGTTTCTATTTCTCAGTTGACAGACCTGGTTACCTTATAGATGCTTCTCTGAAAGACATGTTTTCATCATGCTTTTGTCTCCTTCCCCTCCCTCCTTTTCTCCCTCCCTCCCTCCTCTACCAAACCTCAGCTTTTGGATACAGCCACTGTGTTTCCCCTGTGTCTGTGTGCATTCTTGTCCAGCTGTCAATGGAACACAGCTCTTCTCTGCAGGTCACAAAATTTTCCTGCGACTGTCATTCCACCATTCTTCCAGTAAAACTGCTGCTGCTGTCTTGACACCAATTGTCTACTCAGGGTTTGGTTTGCTGCTGACCCATAAGCTCCTCTGAGCTTTCCCACCCCCAGGCCTAGATCCCTGGGGAGCTTTATGACTTTGCCTTCCCTACCCCTTTCCCAATCATCCTTTTCCTTCCTAAGCGCCTGTGCTATCGTTATTATTAAATATCTTCACATTTTCTCTCCTTTCATTGTAAACATTTTCACTTCATCTCACTTAAGTCTCTTGTGGGTAGATATTGCAATTTTCACTTCAATTTTCTTTCCTCATTGTTCAGAGGATCTTACATCTTAGCACGTCTCTTATCTGACCAATTTAGCACTTAAGAATCTTGGATAATGTGCAACTGATGGGTTAGAAGGAAGTTATTTGAGACCAGGTTAACCTATTCCTTTCCTTATAACAGTGGTGTTTAGATGTTTATTGTTATCTTGCCTGGTTTATACAATTAATTTGCCTCTTACACACACACACACACACACACACACACACACACACACACACATTCACTACCTTTAAAACATTTTAGACTTAGAAATAAAGTGCCCAGGCAGGATAGTTATGGGCTTGGCATGGCTAAATTGTTAACCATGTTTATCTGTTCTGGGTGTTTGGATTAATCAGCCTAGGCAGGTTATCTGTAAACATGATCAATAGACAGTCAAAGGAGCATTAGAAATGCTGAGAAAGTACTGTGCCTGTGCCAAGGCATGGTCATTTCAATGCACATGATTGCATCACTTGGTAATTTAAAATCTGCATAAGAAATTGTATCTCTCCAGGTCACTCATCATTTTTCCAAGCCATAATGTGGGAGGGGATTTACTAAATAGTACCTGACTTGTTTTCACAATTCCAATTCTATACCAGTTAACTCCCCTCCAAACCCCAGCTCAAAAATCTGTGATACATCCTTTTCTTCTGCATGCCCACCATTCATGTTGCTCAGTCTATAGGCTCACCAAAGACATGAACAGAGTTCCCTAAACGCTGATCCATAGAGTGGTGTTGGAACTAGGAAGAATCAATCAGGCTATTGAACAGTCACACATCTACCCCAGATTTTCAAGCACAGGTATTCTCATGTTTTTCTAAACATGTCCAGTGGAGAGTTTTTATCATTTATGCAGAAAAGTAACATCACATTTTGGAGGTAGATGATCATTTTATTTTCAATATTCTGCCTTATGGACCAATGAACATATCTAGGTCTTTACTGAAGTCATGTAATTTTCAAAGCTATTTTGGTTTCACTGTAGTTTCTGTGAGTAGTGTTGGGGAAAGAACATCTGAGGAGACCTTGGTCATGCTTAATTTCCTCCTGCATCCTGACTGGGTGGTCTTTTATGAGTCAACAGGTTTTCAAATGCATTTCCCCAGCTAAAAGCTCTGAAGGACTGTCCCTTTTCTCTCCTTCTAATACCAACTCCCCCTCTCCTCTTCCTAGAGGCTGGATAGGATACTTGGCAGAATTCACTGGGAAGGGGAGTGGAGGCTGACTA